GCCATCCCCGCCTGCTCCCATCGCCATCTCTCCTCCCGCCCTCGCTCTGCGCGTGTGCCTTCTCGACGTATTGCTCCTCTTCAGGCCTGCCAGCCCTGCCCGCTCCCAGCGCCGTCTCGTCTCTCTCCCCAGTCTCACTCCGCGCATGCGCTTGTCGCTCGCATCTGCACCGTTACCGCGCCTCGACGCCCCGCAGTAGTGCCAACCCGCTCTTTTGGAGGGGCCGGCACCCCGCGCCGTCTCGGCCGCAGTCGGTGTTTTCGCGTCTTGCGCCATCTCCTCTCACCGCTTCTGTCCTGCACTGCAGCCCTCCGATCGCTCCTTCTCCAGCGCGCCTGCGCAGCTCTCCGTCGCCATCATTCTCTTCCCCTCCTTCCGCTTCCCTCTTCGGTCCTAACCTGTACGTCTATTCTTTTTTGTGTTCTCTCGTTCTTGCCTCACTGCTTGTTAGGCACGTTCCCTTCAATTTCTCTTCTTCCTCTATGTTTCCTCCGTCGATCCCATCACTCCTCTGAGGTTCTTCTTCCTTTTCTTTTCCTTTTACTCCGGATTCCCTGCGCTTCCTTCCCTGAGCCGTCTATTCGCTCCTACCGTCCGGGAGCATCCCAATCTAATATAAAATATGTATTTAATATAAACATTAATTTGTGAAATGCTCAATATTCTTGAAACGATAATAATTTTTATTATTACCTCTCCATATATCTTAAATGTACATGAATTTTCTTCGAACTCTATATTTGTAATATCATCAACTTTCTACGCTTGTTGAATATTTGTATTATAAGCAATAACTAGTCCCATTTGATCTTGAACATTAAATTCATCGATATATCTAAAATAAGAAAAATTTTACATTGCACATCTCTTTACACAATCTTGTTCAAGATAAAGTTTCTCTCTCTCTCTCTCTCTCTCACCCCATAATACATATATATATATATATATATGGAGTTAAAACCATAGTGGTGTAAGTCACCTTTTTTAACCTATTGAGTTAAGTTTATAGATGCAATCTACACACGCAGATATGTTGAAAGAAAAAAAAAGAAGTAATAAAAAAATTGACTTACATCACTATAACTTTAACCCTCCGTATATGTTATCAATTATAACTGTATTTATATTTATGTTAAAAATATTTTTCGCATAATTTATCTCAAAAAGTATTACCTTTCCACGTATTCATTACTGTGTAAATCACATTCCTTCAACAACTTTATGAATTCCTCATCGAAACGTTCCACCAGTGTCAACACACAATCATCTATTTTATACAGCGTCATTTCAAACTTTTGCATTTCTTCCATTATTGTTTCGCTATTACCATAATACGCTCCAATATTCTGTAACAAAAATAATTATCTATTTCACACTTGCTTATTTTAAATCTTCTATTTTAGAGGACTTATAAATTTACATTACACATACGTACATACATATATCTATTTTATACACAAATACGTACTTCGACCAATACTCCGGCTTTATAGCATCAGAAACTTTTGGATTGTAATCAAATGTAAAAGACACAATGGAAAACTTAATCTTTATGATTATAACCGGGCCGAAAGTATGAACGTCGCCTATCAATTGTAGCTCGTGCAAAAGCTCTATTTGCTCGCGTTTGTCCGTACGTTTTTTACCACAAGCTGTAATTATCTCAGAAAGTTTCTTCAACACCGCACCAATATTAATTTCTACGTCCTTTACGAACATCTTCGGTTTCTTGGAGGGAATAGCCACGACACCCAGGATTTCCCACTTTCTTTTGCCATCATCTTCGTCACGTTTCTTTTCTCGTTCTTTTTCTTTGCGTTCTTTACATTGCTCCTTCCTCTTCACTTTATCCTCGTCCTCCTCCTGGGCTAAAGCCCTATGTAAAAAAAAAAATTATGGTGTCATATAATATATTGTTAAATTTATTATTTTTTATTAAATGGAAAATAATTGTATTCAATTTTATAGATTGAAAGAACGTACTTCTTGATGAAACGCGAATATTTTGATATTTGCCTTCGTCATGTGTGCATGTGCGTCGTGTGATCGAGATGTAATAGCTCGAGTCGTGTCGCGAGGTTAATCGTCCTCCTCCTAGGCTCTTATGTAAAAAAAAAAAATTATGGTGTCATAAAATATATCGTTAAATTTATTATTTTTTATTAAGTAAAAAATAATTTTACTCAATTTTATAGGTTGAGAGAACGTACTTTTTGATGAAACGCGAATATTTTGATAGTGGTCATCGTTACTTGTGCTCTCACTGTCTGAATCGCTGCTCCAGTCAGATTCGCTTTCACTGTCATCTTCGCCATCGATTGTAGTCTTCTGCAATGCAACAATGAACAGAAAGATTTATAAATAGTTATTTTGATCAAACTCCGGACACACACACACACACACGCACACGCACACACACGCACACGCACACACACACACACACAACACACACACACACGCACGCACACGCTTATGTACATACACACACACACACTATCTGTCATATACTACGTTTACGCGAGCGTTACTTCTGTAACTTACATGATAATCCTCCACGTAAATAAGGATTTTGTAGTAACTGATAATAATTCATCCCGCGTAAACGAGTTAATTATTGTAAATTACTACAGAAGTAACGCCCGCCTAAACATAGTAACGATCACGACTGTCATTACCTATCTCCGGCGACCTGCTGATATTTCGCCTCTTGTGACACCCATAACTTCGTAGCACTTCGATTTTTGAGTAAAGACGCAACCGAAATTTGAAATTAAACAATTGTAATTAATAATGAGAGATCACGTCAATATTAACCTCACGACCACGGTCGTGAATTAAATTGAAAAAAGCTGTGATCAACGTGCATTCTATGGACAATGCGTGCTTCGCGTGGTCAGTGGTCGCCGCGTTGTATCCTGTCAAGGATCATACATATCGGGAATCCTCGTACCCTGATTACAAAAATATATTAAATTTACAAGACATTAAGTTTCCAATGACTTTGAAACAGATTAAAAATTTT